AAAAAGGACATCCAGTAATGAGTCATTGTTCCTTTGGGTGAGAGACCAAAGAAAATGGAAAAGATTTAAAAATAAACTGGATTCAACAATTCAGTGAATTACTTAGCAAATGTAATAAAAGTTTGCTGATCACTGGCCTCACTGCTGAAGGCACCTTTGAAGGAATGTCAGTCTGTTAAAGTGGCAGGATAAAAGTCAAGTTACTGTAGCTCCCCAACACAGGTCAAAAGAGATGCCAAACCTAATAAATAATGTTCCCATTTAATGTATGGGGAAACGTTTCCACTTCTGAGGCTTTTAACAACTATGGAGAACACTGGTTTTGATCACCCATTCACCGTGGATATTAAGACAGGCTGAACTTGAGTCTGTTGAGCAGATGATGGACTCCACACATTGTGCAAATGCCGGCAGCCTCCAGGCAACAGGCAGAATACGTAAAACACCCAGCTTTTACTGCCACGTTGCTATCTGACACTAGAGAATGGTTTTCTTTTCCAAAAACACACAATGCTGTGATTAGTTGGGTTGGGTCACAGAAAAGCAGTATTGCCAATTCGTGATTTTAACTTGTCTAGACATTTTAGGGTTTTTTTTTAAACCTCATCACATGCACAGTCTTTGAGCACCTTGAGGTGCAGGACACACTCCTGCCCTACCATCCATGTATGCCTTTATAGTAATGAGAGGGTCCTGTGGCAGCAGGAGGCACCTGAGGTAGATTCAGGGAAAAGCTGCTGCTAGGTTTGGAGCCCAGCAGCAACATTTCCTGCCTCTTTGAGAAGTCTCCTTTCTATCTGGACACACGAGGCTCTTTGGGGGGGCAGCAGAAGGTTACAGGAGGGAGGGAATCAGGGAGGTGGTGCAGCCTAATTATGGGAGGGGGAGCAGCCCTGGGGGCAATAGGAATCAAGACAGTAGTAGGAAATGTATGATAATTTCCTTAAGTTAGGAGTAACGAGAGGGTAAGTGAAGGCTTCATATCCACTTCGTGTACATTAAA